CCCCCCCAAAAACCGGAACAAGCCTACCCCCAATTTTTCAAACGCGGGGGGCGCCCCCCCCCCCCCCAATGCCCCCCCCCCCCCGGTCGCGCCGTCCCTGATTATGTACATATGTTGATGTGTAGTCTGTAAGTAATGGGAGTCTGATCCAAGTACACACATATTATCTTAATATCGTTGTACTATATATCTATTGAATTAATTTTAGATCTGTATATTAAGCGGCTTACGTTGTTATAATCAATGAATCTAAATTTATCCATTAAAGTATCCATGGCATTTGACTTGAAAAATTATGAAGCAGCACTAAAAGTAAGTCACTCATCTTTTTATTACCTTTATTATTTTTCTTTGTATTCTATGTTTTCTATAGCTACAGTCATTGAAAACAAAATTCTGATTGAGATTTTAAACGTAGGTTGTTTCACGAGAAAATTTGTTTTCATAGGTGTTCCTTACTTGTTCAATAGATGCGGTACTCGAGTTCGAGAAATCTTTTGAAATTAGCTACAATTTAAAAATGAACAAAACACTTTTTTGTATGTTTTGAATTTAAAAACCTCATTTGAAAGCGGAAAAAAAAGTTATTATGAAAATACAAATATGAGCGCATTCACACTTTTCTACTAGAAATGACAAGACTTCCACTTCTTCAAATTTTCGAATCATGCTCTAAAAATTGACTTTTTCAATTGTCATCGTATTAAACTGTTTTCTCCACAATGACTCCATTAATCGAGACGTGAAATATCTCACAAAATAGACAATTTTTTACGTTATAAAACAGGTCTATTCTATTATTTTTGAATACTTTTTTGTATGAGAATAGAATAGTAACACAAAAGATAAGAAGGCCGTTTTCGAAGCTGACCAAATCAGCACTTTTTCTATTTACAAGTCTAACTTGACTGGGTCTGGTAGTTTCACGTATTAGTTGTTAGTATCTTGTGCGCATCTATAGTCAAAGTAACGACTTCTACTTTGGATTTTTTTAAAATCTTGTAGCCCTCATTAAGACGTATCTTTTGGTATATTTTTCCTTGAGTAATTTTGCTATTTCAATACCAGCACACACCAAATCCAAAGAAATAAAGAACTTGATTCTCGAGAGTTCATTGATAATCCAAATCTTTATTTTCCTTTCTATAGTAACAACCGTGTCAGAGTAGGTCCTATAGCATTTATCATAGAAAAATCATTTAACAATATAGCTTTTAAATACAAGATTAATTTGTTAAAGAAAAAAAATTCAATTATGACAGATAGAATAGTATACTGTTTGTACTAAAGGAGAAAAAAACACATTTCAAAACAAATTCATTTCTTCATCTCTTTTACATGTAAAGAAAAATAAGAATAAAAAATCTTTATCCGAATAAAATTATCTGTAACGAAAGAAGACTTGAAAAAGCGCGACAAAGTCCAAGTATTGGAATTTGCCTTGCAACTATCATTTCATTTTGGATGAGGTTTGCAACAAATTTTGTTATCAACATTTATCGATGATTGAGAAACGCATTGCTACAGTGAAAAATTTCAATCAGATTCTGATTTAACTTCAATAAAGCTATGATTCATTCATAAATCCAGATTACAGTATTATTGCACAAGGTGCTTGTATGTAGTCTTGCTTTTATTTTATTGCTCAATAGATCTTCGACTAAGAAATATTCTCTTTTAGCGATCAAATTCGTTAGATATCTACATAACTGAATTTAAAGAAAAACGACGATATTAATAAACAAAAGAATACTATTCAAATGCAAAATAGTTCGCTATCATAGAACCAAAGATATTCGAGACCTTTTCTTTTATCCAGTTAACAAATAGGCTTGGCTAAAATCCATTAAAATGATAAATCCGATTATTGTTTATTACACTTCACAAATATAATTCTTATCTTCGAAAATATTTCAAACGAAGAATTTACATACCGTTTTGAATTAAAGAAAAGTGAATATAAATCATGATGTCTTTTTTTATCAGATTGCAACCAAAAAAATAATTTGTTCAACAAAAAGCTTTCTCATTAAAGCAATTGAAGAATTATTTTTGTTGTCGATCAACTGCTTGAGTACATAGACAATCATGACTTCTTTTTGTAAAAAGAAGAAATAACATCTTTTTTTCTCAACTTACAACAATATGATTGTTATCGCATTTTTTCCCTGATAGGATTTTTTCATCATAATCGTATCCAGATAGACGTGACCAATTAGCTAATCGTCTCTGTTTATCTCATTCTATGAAAATCAAAATCCATTACTAAACCAGGGGATACTAAATGCATTAAAAATCTGTCGATATGTGATAATTCTAAACGACTAATTTAGACAACAATATCATATATGTCATTTTATGCTTGAGTTTTGAATTTTTCTTATGAAACTATTTCCCATTCGTGACCATCAAGTATCAGTTGGCATTGTTTTCTTTTATAACATTTAAATGAACCATCTTTTTTCTTGTTGTGATTCAAGAATATTTTTTCATAATCGATCGAATTCAGTCAATAAGTACAAAAATTTCGATGATTAAAATTTTTGGTTCATGGACTCAAAGTAACTCTGATATTTTGTGAACAATTTCAATTCAAGAAATTTTCTGTCTGAGATTAAATTGATCCCATTAACCTTTTTAGAAAAAAGGCCGTATTTCTTTAATTAGTTACTCAATTCCGTAATTCTAACCAGGATGACATAATGCTCAGCACTACCGAATTTAGCAACTAATAAAATAAATAAGACTTTTTATAGAAATTAATGTGGTCAATATAAGCCCGAGCTGAAATTTATTTCAGCCGAAATGTCCGCTTCCAATCCCTTTCGTTCAATTTTGAGCCATGATTCATTCTAAATGAATTTGAAGTTTCAATAAAAATCTGAAAGAGATGAATTTTCTAATCTTTTTTTTATTACACATGATAAAACTAATTAAAATTTTATATTTGTTTCTGTTAAGTAAATTTGTTTCAATTATTGAAAATCTCGAATACGATTTCGATACACAAAACAAGCATTGTATAAATGTAATACAACATTGGATTAATCTTAAGCGTGAATATAAAGAGGCATAAGTATGCTCCCTGCTGTTTGTTTATCTAATTGAGAAATGATATTGAGTTATGTGTGAATTAGAACAACAGCCTGCGGGTTAAGTTTGTATTTTCGATAAGTCATTTTGTTCTTTACCGACACGAGAGAAAATGTGTTACTAAACAGAAAAACATCGATTTCACACTGTCAACTGTCTTTTTTTTTGGCTCTTCTTTACAAAGAATTTCTCTTTCTTTTTGATCCTCATTTGAACTAATTTTTTTTTCACTTCATTTTTAGACTAACATAACTAATCGGTTTGAGATTTTTACGCTTATCATTTACGCTCATCCTTTAACTCTCTTGTTTATGAGTATCAAATAAACATGGACTATTCATTTTATTTCATAAGGAAAATATATACAATAAGAGGCATAAAATCATTCAAGATAGTTAGTTTAAGCATCGAAATCGATTGATTCATTTGGACTTGCATATGACGAAGCCATAGAATGATGATGTGTTGGATAATAAGATGTAGAATATGGATCATATAAAGGATAAGACGTTGGTGTTGAAGATGATAAACATGCATTTTGCATTATCGATGAACTTATTGGAGGAGTTCCTGTTGAAATATTTGGACTTGAATAAATTGTATGATATGATGGAAATGCCGGTGAACACATGTAATATGGATTAGTAGGCGATGGATAAAAAGAAGATACCGATTGATGTCCATAAGGTGACTGATGTATAGATGAAGCTTGCATATGTAATTGACGCATTTCTTGACGATAACGTCGACGTCGAAAACGACCTTGTTCAAATTCTGGTTCGGCCATTTCATG